AGTAAGTCTAATTTTATTTTTTAATGCAAGAGTAAAATTTCAATTTGTGAATTTATTATTATTATAAAACTTTACAGACATTTCAATAGTTGAAATTCTTTTTCCAGTATATTCTTTGTCCATCATTTCAAGCAATTATTCTTTATAACTCGTTTAAAATGTGATAAGTGAAACACAATTTTGTAAAAAATCTGTTTTGACTCAAAAGTCTGTATGCTGATAAAATTTCTGGCATTTACTAAGACTGTATTTTGCACATCCTAACAAGATTGTAAATAAAAAAGAAAACATCTTCAATATTCCAAATTAGTGAATTTAAGTTGGTGTAACATACATTATACACAACAATTAAATGTTTAAAAAATTTGGGAAATATACTTTCATAATTTCTCTCAAAATAAAATTGAAATTGAATTCCTCTTCAAGAAAGCGCCGTTTTATTTTCTATTTGAACTGATTAAAGATGGCGATCTATGTAGGAAGTTTTTCTTCAAATTAGTTTCAAACAATAGAGTTAGATATAAACAGTATGTGTCTAATATATGCCTAGGCTCAAAATTAGTCAGTGTATGTGTGTGTGAAGGTTCAAGACCAATAAAATAACACTTATTATGATAATAAATAAAGTTCATATTAGTCAGTTCTCCTCTTCAGAATACAAAAATTGTAGTTCTGACATCTTTCTACTTTTTCAATGAAAAACTTGTTTGTTTGTGAAAAGTAAAGCTTAAATTTATGATTGTATCTTAGGAATAGTAAAAATCAAGCCTTTTTTGTTAATTACTTTTAAGTTTAAAATTAGACCATTCATATTTTAAAACCAACAAACTATAATATGTTATTACCAGCATAAACACACACACTGATTAAGTTAGAATGATATACTGAAAGTTAATCACATTGCATAAGAACAACTTGCTAAACAAAGACATGTCACTTAAGATGTAAGCCATGGCACCACAGACATCATGTTTATCACCTACATACAGAAGTTTGTTTAAACTTTTTAGTCATAATAATTAAGCTCAACACAGTAGTACTTAAAAGTGTACTGTCTCTAAAGATCTTGCTCTGTCTGCTTCCCATGTTCTTAACAATGTTTTCATGAGATCAGGTTTCTTCATATAACAGCCATTTCAAAGTCTTTCCCTCTCCTCTTTAACAGCTCTCCACTAAATGACTAATGTCTTAGGTCTACGACTTCCCAGTGAATACTTGAGCGGATTAAAGGCACAACACTCCCAGAGTTTGGGTGGACTTGAAAAGTGTGTGGTCAAATGAAATTGTGGTGATTCCTCTTTCTTCAGCTATCTTTCTTATTAAAACAGCTTCAACCTAATGCCTTTTTGGGTAGGAGGGTTCCATTTCATAAAAATAGCTATTATTTTGTGGATGAAGGTATTAGCCCTGATCAGCTTGAGGTGTGGTTTTGAAGCACATTCCAATCTTTAAACACACTGTTGTACGAGTTTTTCTGCTTCCATGGAAAATATTGAAGACTCCTTTCCTCAAAATATTATGTCTATTTTATTTAACATTGCACTGTATAAACACATCTCTTGAGAAAGAACAATCATATATTTTTCCAGTCTTTGATCAAGTTTTAGAGAAAGTTTTTAAGTCTGGTCATCACAGTTTGTTTTATATGCATAAACAGCTCCTCAGACACATCAGTGAAAGAAAGATTAACTGCAGAAAACTACATGAAAATACCTTGCATATGAATGGTGGAAATTTGTTGCAACATTGGACGAGGCCTGGGTGACCTTCAATAACTGTGAGAAAAATTAGTTGCTACCAACTAAGAAGTAATAAGGGATTTCTATGTCATAAAGAAAATTTAAAGATTTTTATTTAATGTTACAATTTTCAAAGGTTTTTCACATAAGGAGAAATTTAATCTTAACTAATTGCACAGTAAAACAAAGATGAACTCTAATTATTGTCAGGTGCACTCAAACCAATTATGTAAAATATAAATGTTGCACTTTATGGCCAGGAAACCAAGAAGATAAGGAATTATCAAGAAAAGTTGTCAAAGTATTGATTTCATTCTCTTTTTTTGATATACTGTGATGTCAACTGATTGTCCACCCATTTAAATGATGTACAAACACATAATGGAAGGTCTGTTGAAAGTTTTTCAAAATGTGTGATCTAAGATTGACCTTCACAGAAGCTTGTTACAGTGGAAACTGTGGTATTATTGCATAATCATGGCCATCAGATTAAATACAACTAAAAAAAATCAAGGATTAGTTCTAAAACCAGCAAGGGACCTGTAACATCATTCTTCAAAAGTGTGATTAATCCACCATAATCTAAATTAGCTCATGATATTAACTGACATACTTATTGTTGAAAACCAAAACTGTGTACTATATATCATTTTTTTTTTCTCTGTTCATGGCAAAACTGTTCATGTAAGCCTTATTGTTGACCTTTTTAACAATGTATCCAAGTCAGCACTGCCTGGTTCTTTTGCACATGTCATGATGTTTTAGAGAGTTATATTTAAAATTTAATTAACTTTATTACCAATATAAGTTAATAAATTTAGCAACCAAATGCAATTTATAATTTACATTTTTTATGTTATCTTTGTGTTAATTCCTTAATTTCAAAAGGAATACTTTAAAAAGTTCTCAATCTTCACTTTTATGTTATGTGATGAAAATGCACTCTCAATTCTCTC